CTTCAGGTGTATTTTAAAAATAGTAAAAATCTTGTTAGTCTTTCTTCTCATCTTGGAAAAAAGGAAGTGTAACACTTTTTCCTGACTCAACTCATTCTTCTCAAAACATCCTGGAGTTTGGTAGTGAGAGATTGAGACAACTTCTTGTAATTTTTGTTTCTAAATCACCCGATCTTTTGTAATTCCTAACATGGATTTTGACTTTATAGGATTTAAAAAATATTTCCGCAGAAGATTGTTTTATTAGAGATATTTTGAGAGAACATCTAAGTGTATATGTGTATGTATGCATATATGTATGTGTGTATGAATATATGTGTATATGTGTGTGTGTGTATAAATAATGAACTGATTGCAGTCTGTGCTTAATATTTATGCTTCTAAAAACCAGGCAATTGTGACAAGTTAACAACTTAAGTCTACAACCTATAAAAAATGTGAAGGCTACTATACAATGGACAAAGCTATGAATGGAGAGTTGATTGTTTTGGTCTGAGTTTGCTTTTTTCTGTCTCAAGCTCATCCTAACTTTATTATCAGGTGATAATCCCTAGGAATGAGAACTGAAATGCTTTGGAATTTAGTTTTCAATGTGAAAACTAAAAGGGAACTTGATATTTTTATTGAACTTTTGTTCTCTTTTCCCTTTGTATCAGCTAGTAATTTTCAGATCCTATTAAAATTGTTTTGTCTTCTTCCCACAGGAGAAGAATTAGAATATGAATTTGATGAACAGGGACATAGCACTTGGCTCTGTAGGGTGAGGTATGTTCTGTTATCATTAATGTCCATTTCTGGCAAGTGGCCAATTTCAGGTTTAATTTATGGTTATAGACAACAACCCAAAGAGTAACTTTAGTTTGAATTTTAGGCTGTTCCCAATCTTGGGCTTTGATAGTTTAGTAACCACTTAAATTATTGGGGAGTGGGGTAGAATGGATAAGATGTTGAAGGAAAAGATTTGAAATCTAACTTTGGCAGAATAGGACAAAATGAACCAAAAGGTTGAAAAGCCATCTCAAAAAAACATGACTGTTACCAGAACATATTAATTTTTTTGTGAGAATTGGAGCTGAGTGCTGTGTTATAATTCCCTTTAAACCAATGCAGATTACCTGTGGATGATTCAACCGGGAAACAACTGGTGGCTGAGGCCATTCACTCAGGAAAGAAAAAAGAAGCAATGATCCAGTGCTCACTGGAAGCTTGTCGGATCCTTGATACTCTGGGATTGCTGCGGCAGGAGGCAGGTGAGCATGGGGAATACGTTTTCCTTAAAAAAAAAAAAAAAAAAAAAAAAATTGAAGGAAATTTTAATATAAAAGATAATAAAATCTCTTTTTAGGGGGAAAATGTAAGTTGTACACAATTCTATGACGAGAAAAGAAAAAAATTCCCTATCTCAATACCCTAAGGTAGCCATTGTTTATATTCTCCCAGACATTTTCTATGAATACAGATGTATGTTCAGAACTAGATCGTTTAACAAAAACAAACACTCTTACACGAATGCAGTTATATTATTTATACTCTTTTGTGACTTACTTTTTTAATGTAAGGATGTGTCATGGATATTAGCCACATCATTGCATTAAGTTTACTTCATTTTTAAAAAACTGGCTCGCTATACTATCATTTATTAATAATGCTTATATTTTTATTTATTATAAAATTAACTTTTATTATTGTAAAGTAACTTATGTATAGTTTAAAACTTACGTATAATATATGAATAAAACAAAGGCTGTAACAAAATATACCTACTTCTTGCCCTATCCCTCCTCAGTCATCATCCGTAGTCATCTAGTCACCTATTGACTCTGTTATGTTAGTATTTACCTGATTATGCTTATGCAAATATTGGTCAAAACCGAGCAATTTTTAATTGTTTTTGTTTTTCCTAGAGCTAATAATTGTGTTTGCTTTAAATGAACAAACAAAACAAAACAGAACCAGACTCATAGACATAGTAAATGAACGGATGATTGTGAAGGGAAGGGCAAAAAAGGTGAAGGGAAATAAGAGGTGCAGATTTCCAAGTAAGAAATCAGTATGCCCCAGGGATGTAATGCACACCACAGGGATACAGTCAGTATCATGATGACCTTGCACACTGTCAGATGCTTACTGGGCTTACATGGTGATCACTTCAGTATGTATGTAAATGTTGAATAACTATGTTGTACACCTGAAACTAATATCTTGTTTTATATTAACTATATTTTAATTAAAACAAATAATTGTGTTTCTTTTTCATGTGTTTGATTTTTTTTTATACCTCTTACTCATTCTTTTTACAACTTTCAACAGCCTTTCAGTATGTTTTTCCACCTGGTGGAAATCACATTTAAGTAATTTATTAGTTCTAATTTTTTTGGAGACATTTTTCCTGAAGAGCAGTATCCTCCTTTTAGGGCTTACAGCTCTCTAGACCTGCTGCAGAACTGTCTTCTGGAACTTTGCTGTCATTTTTTGCCTTTTCCAGGGTTGGAATTTCCGTTTCTTGATTCTCGTGTTTTCAAACTTCTTGGTTTATTTCTCTGTTTTAGTGGTGCACATCCCTCTATAGTTGTAGCAGCTTAAAAAGCTGTTACAACAATAGAGGGCATGGATGGTAATAGTCTTCAATGGATTTCACATGTTTTATTTTTTCTTGTTTTGGTGGACATTGGCTAGTGGATTCCTGAAAAAGGATATATAGCAAGTGCACCATTAAACCCTTCATTCTGAAAATATAATTATTCTAGCTATACTCTCGGTTCAGGGTTTGGCTGGAAATAGAATTCTAAACTGGGAATAATTTTTTTTTTTTACAACTTTGAAGGCACTGCTGTTATTATCTTACATCCAGCATTGCTATAAAAGTCCTAAACTGTTCAGATTCCTGACTTATTGTGTCATCTTTTTTTAACCCCTCTCATTAGAAGTTTGTAAGAGTTTCCCTTTGTTTTCAAGGTCCTGAAACGTAACTATGATGTCCCTTTCTTTGGGTCTATTCACCTACTTTTCTGGGTGTTTGTTGGGTCTTTTGATCCTAATCTTGGTAGTTTAGGAACATATCTGGAATTATATCATTAATCATTTCATCCATCTGTTTGTTCTCTCTGGAATTTTGTTCTTTAGATATTGAACCTGTTGACTGACCATCTAAGTTTCTTGTCTTTTTTTCCCCTCTCTCTTTTTGGTCTTTGTTGGAGATTTCTTCAACTTTATCTTTCAGTCTCTATTTTGCTATCAAGATTTCAATTTCCAAAGCTCATTGTCTTTGAATTTTCATTTTTAAAACATAATAGCCTGTTGTTGTTTCATGGAAGAGTAATGATCTCACCTCTCTGCTAATCTGTTTTCTCCAGGTTGCTTTTTGTTTGTTTGCTTTGGTCTCTATCCTCCATGTTAGAGGTTTTTCTCAGGTGTTGTAATTCTTGGTTGTAGATTCTCATTTGAGGTCTCTCTCTCTCTTTCTCTCTCTCTTTCTCTCTCTCTCTCTCTCTCTCTCTCTCTCTCTCTCTATATATATATATATATATATATATATATATATATATGTATATATGTATGTATGTATTTGTAATGTATAGATGGGGCTCATTAATGGTGAGCAACATTACAGAATAGTGTGGGTGGACTTTTTGTTGGGGAACTCCTCATGTAAGCATTTGTAGAGCCTTCCTCTTCTGTCAAGATTCCCCAGAGAGTACTCTTCTCCTGCACGACAGGAAAGGACGGCTGCCAGCATGCCTAGAGCTCAGCGGCTTCTCAGCATTCAGCTATTTTCAGGACAGTACTGTTTCTGGAATATAGTGCCATGCCCTCAACTGTACTAGTCAACACATAGTCCAGAGACTTTCTGTCCTACCCTTTCTACAGATGAATCTCTGGGTTTTTTTGGGGGGTGGGAAGGAGGTGAGTAGGCAGTGGGGAGGATCTGTTTCTCACCCAGCTTTTACTCGGTCCTCCCTATTTTAGCACTACCATCCACCCCCACTTTCAGATCCTTTTGAGGATTCTGCAGTACAGTCAGATTCCTTCTCAGCTTTCCCTGCTGTCACTTTGGGATTCATCTTTTTAGTTTTACTAAGTTAGTTTTCACTCATCTGCCTGCTTTCTAATATCCAAACGGTCTTTCTGGATTAAAAAAGTGTCTTTAAAAAGGATCTCTTTACTGCAGTTTGTTTTTTTTTTTTTTTAGCTGAGCCATCCTACCACCTGTTGGCAGCTCAGCGGCTGCTCAGCTCAGGGTAGGCATCGAACTGCTGTTGCTCAGAGCTCAAACTCTTGAGTGAGCTCTTAACCAACTGAGCCA